TGAGTCACATATACAACTTACTTCAATTAAACTTGATCTATGTGTGTGAGACGTCACTTATAATATTAAATTTGGCATATATAATGTTCAATTGCATTCTCTAGTTGACCAACATGTTGAAGTGCGTGCCATGTGTTAGTTTAAAAAAAATCTAGTGGTGCTAAAACTGAAAATTTTGAAAAATGTGTTATTTTTATCAATTTCAGAAAACTGTGCTTAAGACTGAATTTTTCAAATTTCTGGTGCTGGTTTTGATATTTGAGCTTTCGCTCAATTTTCGCTCTAATGTCGCTCGAATGAGCCTTTCAGTCGCTCGATATTCGCTCAACCCTCGCTCGAGCGATGGTTGCCCATAAGGCGCGATTGCAGCCTCGTTTTTACTCATTTTTCGAATTTTTCTCTCAAATTTTGATCTACCCATTGTCAAATCTTTGTATAAACACTCTTTTAGTAGCTTGGGCATCAATCTTGGACCATATTAACATCAATTTCATCATCCATTCCAAAAAATTCAAAGGTAAATCCTTAAAACCCTAGTTTTCGATATTTTTGGGGGTTTTGTGATTTTCGTGGTTAATTGCTTTAATTCTTCACTTCATTCCACAAGTTTTGAGTTGGTTAATGATATGGGAGTGCTATTTCACTAATGTAATTCGATTTGTGCATAATTTTGATGGTTTTTGGACATTACATTAAATGTGGTTCATGCCACTTGCATTTTGCCCCTTTTTTTGTTGATTTTGATGGGGATTGGGATAGGTTTAGTTGATTGTATACTAGGTTGTGATGCTTGGATGATGGTTTGTCCATGGGTGCTTTGGATTATGCATTGAATGTGTTGAATCTTCATTGCATGCCAAGTGTTCGATAAAATGTTTCATTGAAGTGTTCGTGTGTTTTCGGGCATCACTTTGCACACACGAGTCATATTCCATCCTATGAACATATCTATGCACTCACATGTCGTTTTGGAGTCGATCTGGCTTAAGTTTTGACTTAGTAACATGATACTGCAGTCACTGCACTATGTTCATGCACTGTATACTTTAACACGTTTGCATTATTTTGTGTGCATGTGACATATGTTTGCATCATTTTGCATGCTTTGTGGACTTTTTGCATCGTTTTGGCTGCATTGTCGATTCTTGCATCGTTTTGCTTGTTTGCTTCACTGTTACATCATTTCACGCATTTTCATATATTTGACTGCGTGGCTGCTCGTGTGGTCTACATTCTCTTTTGTAGCATCTCTTGACATGTTTGTTCTGCAATCATGTTCCAGATGTCGTCGAAGAGAGCCGGACCACCACTCAACAGCCAAGTGGATCTTCTTCCTATGAGGTTTTTTCTTCTCAGTTCTCTCATCGTCTAGTCTTCGTTGAGCGTGAGGTTATTTTAGGTGATCTATCCCCCGACATTGCTACCAGTTTTTCGGGGTTTGGATTCTTTGTTGACTGGGTTGGTTTCTCCTCCTAGTCTTTTAGTTCAGGAGT